TGCAGGCTGCTACTAAACTCGGTGAACTGATACAGTTGTTGGATAGATTTGAACCCAAGAATCCATGGTTGTATTATAGTATGTCTCAAACCTTCTGTAGAGCGGTAAGTCATTGTAAATACTTTCTTATAAGCAGTTCCCTCCAGCTACAAAACCTGCGACTGTAAAAGGCCATGGTGTATGGTTCAAGCTTAACTCGCAGTGCTGTAAAGCCTGAGAATAATGTCTCATTTAGCAAGCAGGCTTGAAGCTACTGTAAAAGCATTCATTTTCTCTGACATTTAAAGCACGGCAGTCGTCGCACTGCGCATGTTCGACATTTGTGTTGATAAATATTGATTTTCCCACAATCCAATGCGCTCTTCCAATGGAAATCACAAGTATGAGGTTTGACCTGGGCGTGACTTGCACTGATTGCCGACGGTGACTCCTTCGATGCCTTCCAATCACTAAAACTTACCTAATTAAAGTTTGGAAACGTCTCAGTTCGTACTCGTTGATCTGCGCAACAGTCAAAGTCGCCATCTTTGTTTATATGAGACCCATATATCTCGCACATGCGCGAGCGACGACTACCGCGCTTTAATTTCAATGTTTTGAGGTTTTTCACTGGGGTTTAAGTTTATGAGCTTATGTCAGAGAAACACTGAGTTCTATTGTTATTCTCCAAGTTTACGTTGGTTTAATTCTGCAAATTTCATTTTTCAACATCAATAGTGAAATTAAAAACCATTAATTAATACGTTTACAGTTAGCTTAGCTTGCTTTAAAAACTACTATATGCCTAATTAAGTAATCTTTTAATATAAGTTAAATTATTGATGGCAATGATACTTATCCCCCTTTTCATCACAAATTCACAAAATAGTCCCATTTATGGTCTGCACTTTCCTTCAGAATATTGGGACAAAAATAGCCAAAAAACTGGTAATTTACTCAAATTTGCGTCTGTTGGTTTCAAAATTAGAATTCATTTCCAGAAGTATTGAAGATTATAAGTGCTGAAAAATTTGGGTGGGAAAACCAGTGATGAGTTGTTAACTTCCTGCCCCTTTACTTTTATAGCTTAGGCCAGACTTTTTTAATTCCTTGTTTGTCGAGATTTTTTAAGGCAATTTTTTTGAGGAGGGCGAAAATGCAACTTGGATTTGTTATGCGGCAGTCGGGAAAAAAAATGAAGATAAAAATAAGTTTTTTTAGCAATTTTTTGCACTTATAAGTCGGCGGGCGTGAGAAATTACGCTGAAATAACATTTTATTTTTATTTCATTTTCAGCTCCTGTTCATTCGGCGGGTTTGCTAAACAAGGGATAATAAAAGTCTGGCCTTACCTGTACATATTTAGATTACACCAATAGATATAAAGTATCAAGTGCACTTTTAGGCATGGTTTGACCTTGACTCCAAATTCAGAATAAACATCACTTTCAAATAACCGCAACCCTGTATTTTACCTGAGTTACTATTATAAGACACATTTTAGGCAGATTCCTGAGTTTAGATATATAAAGCAGGGGTTTTACTATAAAAAATGAACAAGAGGGAGCACACACCGGCGAAGAAGCGGAGAGACCAAGCGAGAGGATAGGTGTGGACGGGCGGAATGACCTGGAAACGTCACATCGGAAAGTTTCTGTGCCGTTTTAACGGTGTATCTGTCGCCATTGAAATATTTTGGAGTAATTTTAGTGTATTTGTTGTCCAGACACATTGTCAGCTGGTGTTGCTGGGAAGTTTTCATGGAGAAAAATATATTTGAGAAAGATTTCATGTTGTATGGCAGCACAGAAGTGCGCAGCTCAAGAAATATATTTATGACTTGAAAGTTCAATCGGCAATTCAATAAGAGAGCGCCATCTGAGATTATCCCTGGTTTAGAAAAATTCCTGTAAAGCTAAGCTAGCTCAAGCCAGGTTTAATATTAAGTTACACTGTAGTGAATTTCTTTTCTCTTTTTTTTTTTAGTGTGGAAGAAACACATTGGTTTTACAGCAGACATATACATTGATGGAGAGAGCACTTGGACTTGACAATATGAATTCAGAATACGCCACAGAGGCAGGTTATGAGTTGCTACTTCAAGGAAAAGTCAGAGATGCTATGAAACTCTACAGGAATGCTATGAAACTAGATGAGACGAGTGTTGCTGCCCTCACAGGTGAGTCAGTAACTCTAAAGTACTGTGAAATGCTTTATTTTCATTGGAATTAATTTTCGCTGAAAAGGCTTTTTGTGCGTTTTGTATGGTATATATTTTCACTGATTTTCGATGAGTTTAATGTGAAATATAGGAAAAAAAGTATATTCGCTGATTTTTATTTTCACGGAATTATCCCTTCAGCGAAAATAGCGAAAATAAATTCCAAGCAAAAATAAAGTATTCTACAGTACTGTAAAAGGTAGACTGGTGCAGTAACTTTGTCGAGTGGAGCTTATCATATGAGTGATTGTCCGTCGTCTGTGTCAATGTTTTACTTTTTTGACTTCTTCTTGAAAACTACAAGCCTGAATGCTTTGATACTTGGTGTATATGTACCTTGGGTAGACCTCTCTCAGATTTGTTCATTTCATGATCATATCTTCAATTCTCTAATTTTGGTGAATATTTTTGTCATTTTTGGTAAAAAGTGATATTTTCGACTTCTTGTTAAAAACCGCAAGTGCAATTGCTTTGATATTACATATATAGGTACTACATGTGGATCTCTCTCAGATTTGTTCATTTTGTAGTGATATCTGTAGTTCTCTAATTTTAATGAATATTTTTGTCATTTTTGGTAAAAAGTAATATTTTCAACTTCTTGTTAAAAACCGCAAGTCCAATTGCTTTGATATTACATATATAGGTACTACATGTGGACCTCTCTCAGATTTGTTCATTTTGTAATGATATCTTTAATTCTCTAATTTTGGTGAATATTTTTGTCATTTTTGGTAAAAAGTGATATTTTCTTAAATTTGTTAAAAACCACAATCATTTATGGTGAAAAATGATATTTTTAAATTCTTCTTGAAAACAGCAAGTCCCATTGCATTGATACTATGCATATTGTTCATTTTCTAATGATATCTTCTGTTCTTTAATTGAAATGTGCATTGCTAACAGCGGAGCTATCTCAGCCGAGAGGCTGCTTGTTTTTGTAGTTTAAATAAAAAAAAAATTGCGAAATGGAGGTGTTTATTCTGCAGGAAATTAATTGCTATTAAATATTCATGAATGCACATATTATAATGAGGTGGGCGCGTTTTAATATTGCTTCTTTTGCTGACTGGAAAATGGGCTAAATTAAAACCCAGTGAGTATGTAAAATTTAGCATAGAACACATTATCTAAATGATAAAATAGTGAATTTGAAACCCACTGAATATTAGTCATTTAGCCACCCAGTGAAAATTAGTCATTTTGCAGTAGCCTTCTAATGTCAACAACTTTAATTAATATTTTCCTATTACTATATTTGCTTTTGTATTGCTAGAAGTTCAACATTCACCAACTTTAAATATCATATTCTGTCTTTTTACGTGATAGGAATTATCAAGTGTCAGCTTCTTGAAGGACATTTGGACGACGCTGAACAACAACTTGACTTTCTCAACGCGATACAACAATCAATAGGAAAATCTTCAGTAAGTCACAAGTTTTTGTATTGATAGTAGAAAAGTTGGGACTTGTAAATTGTAAAGAATAAGTTGTAAAGAATATATGTTACCATCATGCTATAAAAGAGGGATGATATACCGTAGTTGTCTGAGTATAAACCCCTCCGGGAAAACGGCAAATTGGCGAAAAATTAGGGGGGAGGAGGCTTATAAACGGATAAAAATTAAAACTCCCCTGTGCGATAATTTATCCTAATTTATTCATAAACAAATCGTTGTGTGTATGATACGAGTGTTTTCATCGACTAGCATCGTCCAAATTAACTTGAGGATCGGCCATTACGCCTCAGGGTCACTAAATTTTACTAAATGGAACAGCATTTGACTCTGCGTTTCACATGAATATTGGTCTGTACGTTTTGGGGTAATGAAAGTATGAAAGTATATTCTAAATGACGTTTCAAATAAATAATTTGATAAATGACTTGTTGTAAAGTGCTTATACTCGAGCAGGGGTTTATACTCTGACAACTACGGTAATCTTAGCATGGATTCCAACATGTTTTTTTAATATGCATATATGTCATAATCATAATAATAATCCTGTATGTGTAATGTAAACACTTACATAAATGTCATCAGTGGTGTATTCATGGTCAAACTAAATTGCAAGGTTGTAATACTTATGCTATGTTTTTTTTATCTGTATTTAAATATCCATGGCCGAAAGCCCTTGGCTAATCAGAGTCGCGATAAAGTGTGGTTCTATTGCACCACGAATTCACTTAGATCACTGCTGAAAAAATGCAAGTTTGATTGCTGTCAAAATGTCATCCTTTGATTGTCTAATACAAATCTTTTCTCGGGCTGATTGACCAGCGCTAAGTCGGTTAGATCACGCGCCCCGGTGACTATGAGAATTAAACTCGAGTCAACGGCCCTCGTTCAAATTCTCATAGTCACCTCGAACTATGATCTAACCTATAAAAAATAACGTTTCTTAAAGATTATCTAGACTTTATGAAATTCTGAACACAAACTTTATTGCTTTTACTCATCTGCATCATTTTTATATCTCCGACACTAGAGGGCTTGGGTTACGTGAAAGGTGTATTATCTGTTCCAGTTAAAATTTACTTGTTTGTGATGGGTTCAAAAGCTGTTATCCTCGAGGGCGGACATCCGGGCATTTTCACCGCCTGGCAACCCGCGGCGGTGAAAACAAAGGCCCAAAACTCGCATAAAACGGTACTTTGGGATGATTGTTGAGACTCCTCTGAAGAGTGTAACAAGATTAGCCCTACATGTGTAACATATATGAATTTGGTTGTTCAGGATTACTTCAAAGTTGAGTTTGTGTTGTTTTCTCGAATTTTCACCGGCTCGACCGGCGTTCCACAGCAGCGCGCACAGAGCCCATTGAAATGCATGGTACAGTGGTGCGCGTCTTAGCAACGTGGAACGTCTGTGACGTAGCTCCACCCCCGAGGATAGACCGTTTGGAATTATAGCGTTATTAATCGGCTTCTGTACGAGAATGGGAATTTGTTAGCTGGTATCCCTAGTTCCTGGCAGTCTGATTAGCATTCAACATTTGCGAGTTGAAATAGACCATTTTCCGTTCACTGCGAGAATCACGCGTTATGCGTGAAATCGGACGTAAAAACAGGACAAACAAAGGTCATAGCGTCGTAGTTGCGTCAAACATCGCGTGGGATTCGACAAACGCGAAGTATTTTGGGGACATTTCCATGCTTAATAATGTGCTGTCCACATTTGATGATAGGCAATTTCGATTAAGTAATGGTATTCGGAAGCAATATTCCTCTGTCGAAGATCGGCCGGTCGATGTGAGTTACGAAATAAAGAAATTCTAGTTCAAAATCAAATCGTTCGATTTTTGCGGCAGACGTTTGAGGCGCGTTTTTCATACATCTCGCGAGATCTCGCAATTGTACGGAAAATCCCTTATTAACCCCCCTACAAAGACAAAATTTTACAACATAGTGTGCAAGTTTCCATGGTAACTGCATAACTCAAACTTGTCTGTTTCAACCCCTGTTGTCTATTTCAACCCCTGTTGTCTATTTCAACCCCTGTTGTCTGTTTCAACCCCTATTGTCTATTTCAACCCCTATTGTCTATTTTAACCCATATTGTCTATTTCAACCTCTATTGTCTATTTCAACCTCTATTGCCTGTTTCAACCCCTGTTGTCTGTTTCAATCCCTGTTGTCTGTTTCATCCCCTGTTGTCTATTTCAACCCCTGTTGTCTATTTCAACCCGTGTTGTATATTCACCAGGAATTGTTATATCTAAGTGCCGTGTTAGCACGTAAACGTGGTAAAAGTGGTGATGACACCGTCCAGTTACTGAATGACTGTACGGAAACTCATTTTGGATCTCTCAAGGGCCTGCCATTAGGAATGGTCTACTATCAACAATTCAACCCAGACTTTTTAATTGAAATCGTCAACGAGTATTTATTATTTGCACCATCAACGGTAAGTAAATTTTCTCATCGTCATGGTTACTCATGCAACACACTCACCAGAATTGAAGTAAAAGTAAAAGTTGCTTGCACATTTGTCTGCTCCAATCAATAAGTACCTTTCCCTTTGAAAGAATTCATTCTTGGTTCATCGTGTTTCAATTGCACACAAGATTTGAGAAACTATAGGATGTAATGAATCTTTTGACCAGATCCTGGCAATTTTTGGGGTATTATTATTGCAGGGCTTAAACTTCATTGAGACTATTGTCTCAGTACCCCGAGGAGTTTGATGTACAGATTTTTCTTTTACTTCCTTTTATCAAATTTTGTTTTGATAGCCTTGAAAAGCAGTGATTTCTGGTCCTTTGGATACTGATTTCATTGCACGTGTATGTAGCATCGTCATCCCTATGGATCGAATGGTATTGGCCTATTGTTAAATGCAAGTCAACATCATTAAACAACATGGCGGACTCAATTCGCCAAAATGCCCAGGCATCAATCATAAAAAGTGTGGATAGCTGCAAGTGTTCGCGACTCTGTTTCAAATTTTGAGCATAAATGAACATTATACAGTAAAAGGATTGCTGCCGCTGCCCAGCGCGTTACCTATTTCTCCAGGTTTGTTTTGCGCGTATCCGGACAGTCCCATGTGTGGGTGGGGTAATACAAATTACAAGGACGTGTGACTATTTTATGGATCATGTGAAGTACCAGGAAGTGTGATATTTTGAGGTCATACAAAGTACCAGGATGTGTGATCTTTTAGGAGTCATACAAAGTACCAGGATGTGTGATCTTTTAGGAGTCATGTAAAGTACCAGGATGTGATCTTTTAGGAGTCATGTAAAATACCAGGATGTGTGACCTAGTGGGGGTTATGCAAAGTACCAGGATGTGTAACCTTTTAGGGGTCATGTAAAGTACCAGGATGTGTGACCTAGTGGGGGTTATGCAAAGTACCAGGATGTGCAACCTTTTAGGGGTTATGCAAAGTACCAAGATGTGTAACCTTTTAGGGGTCATGTAAAGTACCAGGATGTGATTTTTTAATAGTCATGTAAATTACCAGGATGTGTGACCTAGTGGGGGTTATGCAAAGTACCAGGAAGTGTAACCTTGTGGGGGTTATGCAAAGTACCAGGATGTGTAACCTTTTAGGAGTTATGCAAAGTCCCAGGATGTGTGACTTTTTGGGGGTTATGCAAAGTACCAGGATGTGTGACTTTTTGGGGGTTATGCAAAATACCAGGATGTGTGACTTTTTTGGGTTATGCAAAATACCAGGATGTGTGACCTTTTGGGCATTATGCAAAGTACATGTACCTGGATGTTTGACCTTTTAGCAGTCATGTGAAGTCCCAGGATGTGTGGACTTTTTGGGGTTATGCAAAGTACCAGGATGTTTGACTTTTTGGGGGTTATGCAAAGTACCAGGATGTGTGACCTTTTGGGCATTATGCAAAGTACATGTACCTGGATGTTTGACCTTTTAGCAGTCATGTGAAGTCCCAGGATGTGTGGACTTTTTGGGGTTATGCAAAGTACCAGGATGTTTGACTTTTTGGGGGTTATGCAAAGTACCAGGATGTGTGACCTTTTGGGCATTATGCAAAGTACATGTACCTGGATGTTTGACCTTTTAGCAGTCATGTGAAGTCCCAGGATGTGTGGACTTTTTGGGGTTATGCAAAGTACCAGGATGTTTGACTTTTTGGGGGTTATGCAAAGTACCAGGATGTGTGACCTTTTGGGCATTATGCAAAGTACATGTACCTGGATGTTTGACCTTTTAGGTGTATAATATTTTATATATTTTTCATCTCTGACACTATTCGTCCTTTGTATTTCATATATTGTACTCTATAGGAGATGATGGTAAGTTACACATGAAACTCCCATAGTTTCAAATATGCACAGTTTTTTTAGAGTTTATTTATTTTATTATTTCTTGTGAGTGTTAGCTATTTAATAGCATGGTTGGATTTTTTTTTTCTGTGATATTATTACTGTTACAGTAAGTTACTGTTGATTTTAAAGATTTTATTTAGTTTTTGTTAATAATATAGTTCAATTTTCATATTCAATTTATCTTTACACTTCCAGTTATTTTTTGTTCAGTTATCTTTTTTTGATTTTTAGATGTGTTTTTATTTTCATTTTGTATCTAAGAAAAGTATGGTCTAAAATGTATGTTATCATTGTTGTTGTTAACTTTATGTACTGTAAAATACTTTATTTCAGCTGGAATTAATTTTCGCTGAAATTATATTTTTGGCGTTTTATGTGATATTTATTTACACTGATTTTTAATGAGTTGAATGTAAAATCTAGAAAAAAAAGTATTTACACTGAATTTTTGTTATTGACATTGTCTTCCTTTACCTAGCCCCCACTCCCTACAAAGGCTAACTAGAAAAGATACAAATGCAGTGTGTTTCTGGTAACTTGGCCTTGCATATGACTCTAATATGACCAAACCTTTAAGTGGCCAGCGGCTGCTGCTGGCTGATTACTTGACGCATTTTTCACACAAAAAATGACGACCCATACAACAAATTTAATTTGCATAATTCTTCTATGTAGCCGTATAAACCAACATATAGGGAGAACAATTCAATGTGTCATATTTTTATTAGATTAATTTAATAAAAAAACTCTACCCTATGATAAAATAAAATGTTACAATCATTATGTTTATTTTATTTTACCTAACCATCTTTTTCTCTCCCATTCGTCACCTTGTGCTATCGATCACCCTCTATTTATCCTATTTCACTGTCCCTTCTCTCAATATCTTTTTTCTCTCCCTTCACCATGTGTTGTAAAGCTGCATTTTTTTGGCAAATTTGATAATATTTTTTAATCACGGTGATACTTGGACAAAATTACCTCTGTCACCAAATGAAAGCACACATTGTGATATATCATGTGACATGGCATATATTCTTGTTAGGTGAATGCAAATACTGTAAAATGACTAATTTTCACTGGGTTTAAATTTCACTGATTTACCATTTCAGGCATATTCAGTGGGTTTTAAATTCACGGTTTCGTCATTTAGATAATGTGTTCTATGCTAAATTTTACATATTCACTGGGTTTTAATTTAGCACATTTTCCAGTCAGCGAAATAAGCTAAATTAAAACCCAGTGAATAATTACCCCTTTACAGTAACTGGAAAAAGAAGCATTAGTCCATCAAATATTCCTTTATGCAGCTATTTAATGAAGGAAATGCAGGCTATAAACAGGACTATTTTGGGAATTTGTGATGAAAAGCGGGAACTGATGGTGAAAAAGGTTAAACTATCATCAGACATAAAATTATTCAAACTGTATAATGATTGGTACATCACATGTGGTACCAGGCTTTTATCTCTCTAACAAATTTGACACCATATTTGTGTTTTTAGTGAGTCACAAAAACATTCACTTTGAAGCATGGCTCAGCAATCCCAGACTTGCACCAGTACATTATCTAGAACATGACTTCTCGTCAACTTTTAGTCAAGTATCTTAAAATATTGTCCAGCTTCTCATGTGTCTCATATTGCATTACAACAAATGTAATTTTGACTGTGAAAACTCTTTAAAATCGTGCGCCAAATTCTTTTAAAAAAAATAATGATTTAACTAATATATGCTTTAATTTGTGGTGTTCAAAACTAGACAATTCATGCTCTAACTTGTTGGGCATAACATGGAAATTATTTTTTTTTTTTTTTTGGAATTTATTATTAAATGAATTAAATTTAAAAAAAAAAAATGTGTTGCAAAACTTACAAAATTATCTCAAAATATTGTCCATCTTCTCATGTTTCTCGTATTCCATTACAACAAATGTAATTTTGACTGTGAAAACTCTTTAAAATTGTGCGCCAAATTTTTTTAGAAAAAATAATGATTTAACTATTTGCTTTAATTTGTGGTGTTCAAAACTAGACAATTCATGCTCTAACTTGTTGGGCATAACATAACCCTAAAATTATTTTTTTTTTTTTTTGGGAAATTATTATTATCGAATGAATTAAATTTCAAAAAAAAATGTGTCGCAAAACTTACAAAATTATCTCAAAATATTGTCCATCTCATCACGCTTCTCATATTCCATTACTACAAATGTAATTTTGACTATATGCTTTAATTTGTGGTGTTCAAGACAATTCATGTTCGAACTTGCTATGCATAACATAACACCATAGTCACCATTATTATCAAATGAATTGAATTTAAAATTAAAATGTGTTGCAAAACTTGACGACTTTTTGATGTATGTGTCACTATTCAATAAATCATGCAAAAATGAGTTCATTAACTCTTGCACAACTACCTCAAAATAAGTTTTTATGGTTCATAGATTAAAAAAACAAAAACATGCAGCTGATTTCCACTTATCTGAAAGTGTTTTTACTGTTTTTGCATCTTACTGTCCAACTTTTGTTTCATTGTCAGCGTTATATCACCAGTTATTCCACCACTGATTGACCCATGCATGTTATCTGTGTTCTGTTTCATGTTGTCCTCAATGTTTCCACTGTGGATGTTTGTATCTTAATTCTTTCCTCCAATCAGCTTCAAAAGGTGAGAACTATCTCTTGCTGATAACGTTCTTTATACATGTATAACAACATTGTTACTGGTTTCCTATGTAACATCAACAATTTTGCTAGGAACCATTGCAAGCAAGACTGTTAGACTAAATTACTGAAATGTGGGGCTTGCATTGAAGATTGAGTTGTGTATTGTACCCTC